AGAAGGCATTCGTCGAGTGTCCCTTGGGAAAGGAGGACAATTTCCGTCGTCGTCGATGGCTCATATTCATGTCTTTGTTAGGGCAAAAGTTCCTCCGCCATGCCGCAGCTTGCATGGCATGGATAGGAGAAAAGTTCGAGATGTGGCTTAACCTCGTATCTTCTAACCGCAGCATCTTTATCCTCTTCCGTAATTTCTTACGAGGTTTTTTCCTTTTTCTGGCCATTTCTTAATTTACTATGTTTCAGCAAAGTATATGTAGGAATACTGATTAATGTGGGCTAATGTTGGGTGAAGGCAATGTGGTGAAGCCTCATTCTGAATCGGAAAATTTTCTGTCGTTCGTGGGGCACGTAGACAGGCGTGTCGATTTGGACAAGAACATAAAACCTGAAGACAGCAGGTACCATGAGGCACTCGCTGTAATGGCTGCTAAAGTTTCCTACGAAAACGAGGCCTTCGTAAAAAAAACCGTTAGAGATTGCTGGAAGGTACGTACAGACTTATATCAAATTTTTTTGAGGAAATCCTTTTATTATAAAGGCGTATTTGTTGCATGAAAGATTGCCTATTTGGTGCAGATGGAATTACTTGGGTATTACAACTTCTGGAATGGTAAGAATCAATCTAATTTTAGTACATTATTTGTGGTTGTACCTTACATAATTTAAAAGTTTTAAATTCAAACTTTAATGAGGCAGCTCAAGATTACAAAATCCCAAAAAAATTAATTTGTATAATGTTTGTCAGATTATCAAAGAAAGAAAACCACAGAAGGCTTCATGTTCTATGATCAAGAGTCTGATACAGTGGTTGTTGCCTTCAGAGGTACTGAAGTCTTTGATGCCGATGCGTGGAGCACCGATGTTGATATCTCCTGGTACGAACTCCCACAAATGGGAAAGATCCACGGCGGATTTATGAAAGCCCTAGGGCTAGTGATGAGCCAGGGTTGGCCGAGGAATTATGAACAGAACGACGATCATCCACTGGCTTACTACACCATTAGAGAGAAGCTGAAAGAAGTTTTGACGCGAAACAATGAGACGAAGTTTATCATGGCTGGTCACAGCCTTGGTGGGGCATTGGCGGTGTTGTTTCCGGCAGTTCTAGCGTTGCACGAGGAAACATCATTATTGCAGCGATTGAAAGGAATTTACACGTTTGGACAGCCTAGGGTTGGAAACGAAGACTTCAAGAGTTTCATGGAAAATCAAATAGATAGACATGGGTTTAAGTACTTGAGATTTGTCTATTGCAACGATATTGTTCCTAGATTGCCTACTGATGATGACTCAACCTTTTTATTCAAGCACTTTGGAACTTGCCTTTATTATGATAGCTTCTACAAAGCGAAGGTGAAACGTACATATTTTTGTTCAAGAAAACATACATTCCGACCTAAGTGGTCCAAAAGTCATATTAAATAATCTCTAACATTTTAAATTATTTTGGTTGATATGCTACAGGTAGTTCCAGAAGAACCGCAGAAGAATTACATATCCCTATTATTAGGGATACCGAGGTTGCTGAATGCATTTTGGGAGCTAATAAGGGGCTTTATTCTGCAATACATCAGGGGCCCAGATTATAGAGAAGGCTGGTTGCTGATCCTGGTGAGATTTGTTGGACTCGCTCTTCCGGGTTTAGCAGCCCACAATCCACAGGATTATGTCAATGCAACTCGACTTGGACGTTCTGGCATTTGCAAGCGACCCAAGGATAACTCCACATCCTGAAATTAATTTGAAGTCCATTAATTGCAAAGAATCAATGACCATACAGACCTGTACATATATGCAATTGTAAATTTCATTTAAAGCCAAAAATGCATTTGTAATTGATGCTCTGGGATTTAAATGCAATTATTTCTATCTAATTCTTTGATTTTTTTTGTTTTTTATGTGCTAATATTATCTTAACCGTGAGATAATATATATTAACAATCGATAATTTATTTATACTTAACAGAACTTATCTTCTATTTCTTTCTTCTTCTTTTTTTCTTTTTTTTTTTTAATCTTAACTTATCTTCTAAATTCATTTGACTGCTTTATTTAGTTTAACAGTCATATATGTTATTTACATTATATATATTACTGAAAATATTTATTATATAATTTGATACAATTGAACAGCGCAATCTTAACCTTAATATTGGGAGGGTTTCGTGGACGTGGGGTCGTTCTCTCACAATTAATAGTATTTTTACTTGTTACTTTCTTTTACAGCAAAGTTGTCATGCAAAAGGGCGAACTCTATATATATATATATATATATATGTAATTTTTTTTTTGTTTTTCTAAATATAATTATTAAGAATTCACTTGTAACCTGTGATCAAAAGTGTTTAT